TCCCACCCCTTGCAGGCTTCCCTGGAGCTCCAGGCCCCTCCCATGGGGCCCCTGCTGCTGGACCGGGGAGCCCCTCCCTCATGGGCCCCAGGTTCTTTTCTCAGATCCTGCCAGTGTTCAAGGATGATCTGGAAGTGGGGAGGCAGACACACCTTGTGGACCCCGGCTGGCCCCTGTGCTGGGCCACTTGGGGAGCAGAGCACTGGGGAGCGGCCCCTCCCTCCCCGTCATCCCCACTGGCTGCTGCTTGTCTGGCTGCCTCTGCCTCACCCAGGTATCCTCGTTGTGCTGGAGAGTCCTCTTCAAGGGGTCTGCCCTCCCTCTGCAGACCAGCCAGCCCTCTGCTGAGGTCACTGGGAGACACTGAGAGAAGCCCCCTACCCACCTGGCTGGGGACTCAGACCACCTGGGCTCTGGGAATGGAGGCTTTCGCTGGTAGGGAGGCCTCTGTGCCCACTGGCCCCAGCCCCTTCCTCCCCGGTGAGCCCAAAGGTCAAAGTGGGGGTGGTGGCCCCACACCTCAGCCTGGCCTGGGCCAAGCCTCCCAGCCAAGGGGCTCTGCATGGAAGCTGAGCACCCCCAGCCCTTCCTGTCCCCACTCTTCCTCCCTCTCAAGGCCCAGCCACCCTCCCCCTGCCCTCTGGCCTCTGCCCACTGCTGGTCTCCCCTGCCTTCCCCATCCATCTTTCCCCTTCCCTTCCCTATTTCTCTACCTTCTCTTCTCCACTCCTCCCCAACCCTCCACCCTGATCCCGAGGGCTCCCTCCCAGCCCCTCCTCTGCCCCATTTTGTTCATCTCTTGCACTGATCCTGTTTGGGGCCTTGGCAGAAGCTGTGTGCATGTGTCTGGGGTGGGGCAAGTGGAGGGGTGGGCCAGGCAGAGGCTTGGGGCAGGCAGGAGGCTCAGGAGGAGGCTGTGGGAGCCTTTGAAGCTGGGTTGGTTATGCAGGCTCCAGTCTTCAAAGTCAAGTGCTGGCAGGGCTCAGGGGCTCTTATGGAGTGCAGGCCGGGCTTTCTGAAGGCAAGTGATCACGTGGGAGAGCACAGCCAGCCCAGCACCTGTGCCTCGTCCAGGCCAGGCCGTTTACATCCGTGGGCCGGGGCTGGGGGCCTGTCTCTGCCAGGTGATCATAACCTTCCTGGTTAGGGATACATGTGGCAGGGCCAGAGTCCTGGAAAGGGCCCATGAAAGGAGACAGGATTCCCAATGGGGGGAGGGTGGGCAGCAGGCTGTGCCAAGCTGGGACCAGTGCCCATAGGGCTCTCTAAGACAAGGTGAGGCAGCAGCGGCCCTCCAGCCTGCCTCTGTGGCCCTGCAGCCCCCACACTCACAGTCCTAGCCTGCCCCTGACGCTGCTGAGTGGTCAGACCATCTGCCTCGAGGGAAGGAAGCCACCATGTGTGTCTTACATGCACCAAGGCGTCTGCTGCCTTCCAGAAGAGAACAGAAAGGCCCAAGTCAGTGGAGTCACAGGAGGCAGAGCCTTTTTCCTGCACAGCTGTCCATGGACTTAGGACCCCCCAAAAAAGATTGCCTTGTCAAGGATTCTGGGAAACTGTGTTCCTCAGAGTCCTTGTGCCCCATAGATAAGTCATGGCTATTCCACAAGTCAAGGGTCCCACAGCCAAATACATTTGGGGAACACTGCATATTCTATCTCCTTCTTGGCGATACTGATATTCATGGCACATTAAAAGCTCTGAGAAGCCCTGCGGTAAAGGAATCGGTGTTTCCCAAATTTCTTTAATCAAAGATTGTTTTTTCCAGTAACACAGTAGAAAAGCTTGAGGGACTCTGGAGCTCCTCGGAACACAGGGTAGGAGACAAGTCTGGCAGTGGTGACTCTGGGTAGATTTTTTTCTCTGGGACTTAGGGTTGGATGGCCCTAGATTCTGGAGCTCTGGAGGGAGCAGGAAAGGGAGGCTCCTACTGGCTCCATCTCCCTGACACAGGGAGGCCCCATCCATACCCTGTATGAGGCTCTGCCGGGAAGGGACATCTGTGGTGGGAAGGGGGTTTTTGTCATGGGAATAGGTTCCTCTGGGGCCTGTCTCCCTCCTCCACACCCACGCACTACTGCCCCTGTGAGCAGGCGCTACGCTTCAGCTTTGAGCCCTGCGCACAGTGTCCCCTGTGAGACATTTCGGAGGTGTACTCTGGACAGAGAGATCTGTCTACAGCGGAGATGCCCAACGCCACCATCTCATCTGGGCCTGTGGTGGCCGCTCAGCCTCTCTCCATCTTTCTCTCTTTTGTGCCTGAGTCTTGAGGTTGAGAACCAAGGTCAAGGTCAAATTCTAAATGGAGGAAAAAGCAGGTCCCCCAAGAACATGTTTGCTTGATCCTGGGGGGTAGGGCATGGCAACCTTGCCCATACTGCCCCACCTTGGCTTTGGGGAGCGGCTCAGCCTCAGCCCTCTCCATGCCCACCCCAGTGCTCCACAGGGGGCCTCTTCCCTAGATGCATTCCTGTGCCTCAGGCGTGACTGCCTTCCAGAATAGTCACTGTCTCTATTCCCCCTAGACTCCCAGCCCTGCTCCTTGGGGTCCCAGTAGCCTGATGAGCTGGTGGTGCCCCTTGTCCTTGGCTCCCAGGGTTTCCAGGTCATGCCCTCCACCAGCCAAGGCTTCTGCCACCCCCACCCCCACAAGTCCCCATGTTCTCAGGAAAAGGTGGAAAGTCCAGGGTGAGGGTCCCTTCCAGACCCAGCAGCTCCACCTTGGAAAGGGACCGGGACACAGGGAGGGGCTGCCCCAGCAGGCAGGCCAGAGACACATCCAGAGAAGCACAGGTTCCCGTTACACACTCCCCAGAACAAAGGACTGAAGGGCCCACTGGTTGCCTTGGTGACATCCTCAGCAAGGTCAGAGGTCTGGGAATGCTCCCCTTTCAGGGAGGTGGGGTGACCCAGCTGCCACATTTGCAAAGAATACAATCTCCAGCTCAGCTGAGATCCCCCAGTCTCAGGTTAAGGCTGCAGCTCAGCCTCATGGAATAGAAGGGAGAGCAGAGGAAGCCAGGGAGCTCCTCAGGCCAATGGGAGGAGAAAGATGGACACAGGGCTGGGCCTGTCCCAGGAGGACCCCAATGAAGAGAAGGTGGAAGAGGAGAGAACCGGGATTTTTAGTACTAGAGCTTCTACTCTGCAGCGAGAGAGCTGATAGTATAGCAGTTACAGCCCATCTTCTCCTTTGACAGGCAGGGAAACTGAGGCCAGGAGAAGTAGGGCCAGTGAGTTGGCAGCTGGGACTGATCTGCCTTTCAGCTTCCTCAGCCAGAAACAAGCACTCTCCTTCTCCCACTCCCTCTGCTCACCTCAGGCCTGGTCCCCAACCCCTCTCCCCTCTGTCCCCCACCTCATCATTTTCTCTCTCCCACCAGCTTTCCAGGTGCAAGGCTCCGGTCCGCTGCCTGCTGCTTGCCTCCTTTCTGTGTGGCTTCCTGGCCCTCGAGTGCGTGCGTGTGCGCGTGGGTGTGCTTGCACAGGTGCGCGTGTGTGTGTATGCTTGTGTGTGCCAGGCACAGACTGCAGTGCCCGCCTGCCTTTCTTCCTCCCGCAGGAGCTGACCCTCGAAGCCCCGCCCTCTGTGCCCAGCCCCTGGGTCCTGGTCCCTTCTGCCCCGCAGGACGTGCAGTTCTTGCTTCTTCTTGTATCTCCCGTTTTCTCCCCTCTCTCTCTGCCCCTCTAGTGATCTAGACAGAGACTTTTGGAATAACAATGAGAGCGCAGTGCAGCAGAAATGGAGCTCCTACCCTCCCAAGGAGTTTATTCTAAACATTTCACCCTACGCCCCTTATGGCGACCCACGACTGTCCCTCAAGTGAGTGACTTTACCTGGTTTGATCATATGTACCGAGTATCCGCGCACGCCCTCCTTCCTCCCTCCCGCCCCCACCCGACCCTGGCCCCCCTCACTCCCTCTCTCCTCTTGCTCCTGTCCCAACTTCCCCAGCCATCCACCCCATGGGCAGGCTGACCATGGAGACGAGCAACCCCTCCTGCCCCCGTCCACCTGCCTGCCCGATCCCATCCCCTCCCCCAGGGCCAGCCTTGCAGGAGAGCCCCCTTGGCAGCCACACCTGGCCCCCCCCAGCTGGTCCCGGGGCCCACCCCACCTTCTGTGCAGTCAGGATGGGGTTGCCCGTTTGGGTCCTGCCCCCTCTCGGTTGTGGTCGCTGCTTCCTTCCCGCTGTGTGCTGCCGTGGCTGCTCGGTGGTCGGTGGTCGGTGGTCGGTGGTTCGTGGCGGTGGTGGCGGTGATGGTGGTGGTGGTGGTGATGAACTCTGACTAACACGGCTTTCTCTTTCTCCCTGCCTTGGGGCCTCCTGGCCTGGACAGCCCGCTCTTCCTCCGTCGTTAACCCTTCGTTGTCCTGTGGGATAGAGTGGAGGTGGCTGCCCTCCCCCAACCCCCGCCGCCCCTGCCCCAGGCGGTGGGGAGGGGCCCCCCTCCGTTGTCGTGGTGCGTTGTTCTCCGACCCCCAGCCCGCCCGGTCCCCCTCTCTCCTCTCTGCAGGCTCTGCTGTTAACCCATTTGCAGTGCTGATGTCTCTCTCTCTCTCTCTGTCTGTCTCTTGTCCGTCTGTCTCTCTCCTCCTCCTCTCTCACTGTCTCTTTCTTCCTTTTATCTGTTATTGTTTTTCCTCCTCTTCCTTCCCCCCACCCCCACGTGTGGCCCGCCCTCTCTCCCCCACCGCCACCCCCGGTGCCCCTCTGGCCTGGCTGCCTTGTGCATGCCTCCAGTGGCACCCTCCTGTCGGGCGCCAAAGTGGCCGCCGCGGCGGGGCTGGCGGTGGAGCGGGAAGGCCGGCTGGGGGAGAAGCCGGCGCCGGTGCCGCCACCCGGAGAGGACGCCTTGAGAAGCGGCGGGGCTGCCCCCAGCGAGCCGGGCAGCGGTGGCAAGGCGGGGAGAGGCCGCTGGCGGACGGTGCAGAGCCACCTGGCCGCAGGGAAGCTCAACTTGTCCAAGTGAGTGATGGCACCCCATGGCTGCAGGAGCCGTGAGCTCAGGCCTGCCCTGCCAGGGTGGACAGCGGGACCCCTGGCATGCCCGCTGCTGCCCCCAGAGGTGCCGTCCTCGGCCCCTGGCTCATTCCATTCCTTCATGAGACTCTCCCATCGTCCTTGCCATCTGGCACAACGAACTCAGCCATACAGTGTCGCATTCCAGCCTCTGGCTGATGCCCCATCAGTCCCTCCCTTTGCCAGTGACCAGGTCATTCCATTTTCTGCCCCCAGGGCAACTTCATTTCAGTCCCTGGGCCATCCCATCCTCTTTGATTGGCCGCCCCATCTCAGCCACCAGGTCATCTCTCCATGGGCAGCAGGCCTGTGGTTGTTCCATCTCATCCTGGGAGTTGGCCCATTCTCAGCCTGAGACTCACCCGTCAGCTCCCGGGCCTTCCCTCTTATGGCCAGCAGATGGCTCTAGACCTAGAAGTTGAGCCATTCCATTTTTGACCATCGGGTGACTCCATTGGCTGTCCCAGTCTTGCTTGAACCATACACCATCTGTTGCGGAAGCTACTCACAAGCAGCCGCAGGCTGCTGCATCGGTTCATCCTCATCTCAGCCATCCCCGTTGGCTGTCCCAGTCTTGGTCAACGAGCTATCCCACCACTGGTTGTTGGGACGGTGTATTCTGGAGGTTGGGTTGTCAGGCCCCAGCTAGCTTCTCTGGCCAGATGTCATCGGGTGTTCTAGATGTCAGGCAGAAGGAGCCATCCCCTCTTTAATAGCTGTCTGAGCTTGTCAAACAGGCCCACTCTTGGCTGATGGACATGGGATCGGCCCCTGTTCTCCACAGATAGTATATTCTCATGAGGCAGCTCTGTTCTCATCTTGGCCTTTGGAAACTTCCAATTCCCCTCAGCAGAGCCCTTCCAAGCCCTGAGTCCCTTGAGCTGCGACCAGTCTCACCCCTTGGGGTAGAAATTCCATTTTCAGAAGTTGGAACTGCCTCATTCCCAGCTAATAGAGCAGCCTCCCACTTAAAAAGGCCAACACCCGTGACCCCTTCCTAGCTGTTGCCTCAACTGAGGGCCCTCCTCATTCTTTTCGGAAGACCTGTGGTTTCTGCCACTGGGACCACTGAAGGCCACCGTGCTGAGATCTCATTTGTTAGTTGGCTTGAGTGCACCAAGCCAATTTCTCCTGACATCTGGCCTCAGGAGGGTCCCACAGGGAAGCCACACACCCTTCAAAGAGCCCAACCCAGTGCCCCACCCTCCCAGCCTGCCCTGGCCAGTCTCCAGGCCGGCTAGGCCTCCATGCCATCCGCTGGTTCCAGGCCGGGAAGAACCGATTTGAGTTTCCTGTGACTGAGAGTTTGTAAATTGGACTAATTTTGGATGTGATAGGAAACCAAAATGAGGTCAGCAAGGAGGAAGAGGAGGCGGCCATCAACCTGCCACGCTCCCTCTGCCTCGACCTGCCCCCAGGGAGCTGTGGGCCTACCTGGCCAGCCAGGCCTGGGCCTGCTCCTGGAGGTAGCCCCGATTTCAGGCCTGAGTCAGGCAAGCCTGCCGCCCCTCCAAGACCCCAGCTAAAGCCACGTTTTGCTTTCTTCTCTCTTTGTTTCTCTCTCTCTTTACTATACTCTTTCTCTCCCTCTTTTGCTCTCTCTTTTTCTTTCTCTCTCTCAGCCCACAGGGGTAGCCTAACTGTTGTCTTTTGGTTCCCAGGGTAGGCTCAGAGGGTGAGCAAAGCTGAGGGCTGCTTGCTGTGGTGAAAGTGGCTCCCAAGGGCCCTGGGGCCTCCTCCCTTGGGCAGCCCAGGGGATACTCGGCTGCCCCATGGCCCTAGACCAGAGGCCAGCAAACTTAGTAAAAGGCCACTTGGGAACTACTTAGGCTTTCTAAGCGATACAGTCTTGCACAACAACTCAGCCCTGCCATTGTGGAATGAAAACAGCCAGAGACAGTATGTAAACTCATGCCAATGGCTTGGTTCCAATAAAACTTTATTTTGCAGAGACAAGCAGCAGACCAAATATGGTCCACAGACCATGGCTTGCTAACCCCTGCCCTAGACCATTGGATTGAGAGGTGGAGGGAAGAGACAGGAGGAGGAGGTTGGAACCCCTGAGGCTCCAAGATGAGAAATGATTCACCCAAAGCCGTTCATTCAGCCCAGTCTCTAACTCTGGTGCCCTGGGGTGCAGCCTGGCTCTGGCCCTGCTTATGGGATATGGTGAAATCTCCAGCCAGCGCATGAAGCAGACAGGTTCCCCAGGGGAGACCAGAGACTTCTGACTCCAACTGCTGGCATGGCGAGCTTTTACTAATACAGCATCTTCAATACAGCACAACCTCATTAAGTCCTCATGGCAACTCTGTGACAGTGGAAGCTTGGAGATTATTTTATTACTCACATTTTGTAGATGAAGAAACTGAGGCCAAGAGATGTGGAGTAACTTTTCCAGAGTCCCATATTCAGTCAGTGGCAGAGGTAGGGTTTGAACCCAGGTCTCTCTGAGGCTATACTGCATCTGACCAGCCATGTCCTAGTTTCTCTCTGTCCTTGCCTCAGTTCCCAGTGCATTTCACAGACACTGAGGTACCTGTGGCAGAGCACCCCCTGCAAATGCATCAAAGATAGTCACCCCCTTCTCCGTTAAAACCGTGGCGAGGTGTCAGCAGAGTGGGCACTGGGCTCCCACCTTGCCTGCGCTCTTTCCTTGGTCCAGTCCTCTGACTTGGAGATATTCCCAAGGTCCCAGGAGAGGATGCTGGATGTAGGAAACAACCCTGGAAAGAGGGCAAAGATCCACACCAGAGCCTGAATCTTAAGGCGGCGCTGGCCACAGGGCGAAGGTCTGCTGCTTCCTCACTTCTGTGGACAAAGTGTAAGAACTGATGGCTTCCCCGGCCTCCCCAGGATTACTAGGCCAGCGCTGCACTGGCCTGGATTTCTTCCTGTCTCCAAAGGATGGCAGTACTTAAAACACAGAGGCAGACTTTTCTGGTATCCCCAAGCGAGACAGCGGGAGGGCCACAGCAGCTCCCTTCACCCCTCCCACTCCAACATGCCAGGCAGCCTCAGGGCCCTAGGAACCTGCCTTCACCACGCAGCTTCAGCAGCACTCGCGGCCCACTCAGACCAGCAGGGAGGTCGGCCCAGCCAGGAGGTATTCAGGCACTAGCTGAGCCAGGGCCAGGTGGGTGGGTGGGGCCGACCTGAGGCCTCAGGGTGGGTGCGAGGGCTTTGCAGCCACCTGGGTGAGGTGGTGGCGGCGACAGCGGCGGCAACAGCTCTGATGGAGGCCTGGCGAGGTCCAGCAGCGCGCACCCTGCACTGGGGCCTCCTAGTCCTGGCCCTCGGCTTCTTTCTCCTCCACTGTGATCCCTTCACCTGCTTCTCCTTTCTCTCCTCTCCTCCACCTGCCCCAAGTTTCGAGGACTCCACCCTGTCCACGGCCACTACCCTTGAGTCTATCCCCAGCTCCACGGGAGAGCCGAAATGCCAGCGACCCCGCACCCTGATGCGGCAGCAGAGCCTGCAGCAGCCGCTGAGCCAGCACCAGCGGGGCCGGCAGCCCAGCCAGCCCACCACCAGCCAGAGCCTGGGCCAGCTGCAGGCCCACATGGCCTCAGCGCCAGGCCCCAACCCCCGGGCCTATGGCCGGAGCCAGGCTCGGCAGGGCACCTCGGCCGGCTCCAAGTACCGGGCGGCGGGGGGCCGCAGCCGCTCCAACCCGGGCAGCTGGGACCACGTGGTGGGGCAGATTCGAAACCGAGGCTTGGACATGAAATCCTTCCTGTAAGTCCTCCCCTTGAGCGGGCCGGCCCCACCTCCCTGACCCAGCCTCCCGCCCCCCAGATCTCCTTGGGAGCAGCTGGTCGCGTGTGCCTCCTGGCCCTCCATCCCCTTAGCAGGGTGCCCAGCAGACTTGGCAGCCCCCTCCTCGGTGTCTTGTGGTTCATGCCTGAAGACCACCATGGAAGGATTCTGAGCCACCTCCCTATGAGGACCCCTGCCCCCCTCAGTGCTCTAGGGCTCCGGGAAATTCCCCCCTAAAAATTAGTTGGAGACACTGGACAATGCCCTGAGATACATCTCTTCCCAGCTAGTCCCAGGCTGCTCTTGCCTTCCTACCAGTCTTCCTTCTGCTCCTGCAACCTCTCTCCTCCCCCCTCAGCTCCCAAACCCATCCCTTTTACTCATCTCCAGCCCCACCTCCTCCCCTGCAATTTACTTCTTCCCTGTAACCTGACTCTGCTAGCCTTCCTGGCCCATACCCCTCCCTCCCTCTCACTTCCTCTGTCCCCGTCCCTGCCACCAGCCCTCCCCCATCTCTCTGACCTTCTGTAGCCACCTGTCCTCCAGCCCCTGCCCTGGCTTCCCAAGTCTCCTTCCTCCAGTAATGACCCATCCCCTGAGGAAAAACCTGAGATGTTGCCCCAAAGCTTTAGAAAAGGTTGTTTCTAAATCGGAGCCTTCTTTCAAGTATACAGCCTAAGAAGTAACAACACACCAGCAGTGTCTAACCTTAACCATTCCCTCCAGCCATCCGCCCACCCTTGCTCTCCCTAGAGGGGACTCGCCCAGGAAGCCCCCTCCCCAGCATTTGTCTGGACATTTGTCTCCACTCTCAGGGCCTAAGACAGGTCTGGGCTGCCATCCCCATCACCCCCTCCTCCGCCCTAACAAGAGCTTCCTTCCAGGCCTTGGGGATTATTGCCATCGCCCAGGTCTTCCCTGGGAGCACTTTTCACGGAGCAGACCAGCGCACTAAGCCTGGGAGAGGAGAAAGGGAGGAGGAAAGGGAAGCATTGGCAAGATATAGGGATTCTGAAGGCAAGCACGTCCTCGGAGCGTCCTGCCTCTTCCCGACACCTCAGCCAGGGCTTCCCGGGCAGATGGTAGTGCTGCCCTGGGAGAGGCACCCTACTCGAAGAGGCCCCACTGTGCCAACTTCCCATAGCCATGCAAGTGGCCCGTGGCCCCAGCCAGCCAGACATGCTGCCTGCGACTCTCCCTGGCAAATCAGGGCACTATATTCTGTGAGGCTCTATCGCACTCGAAGACCTTCAGGAATCTAACTGGACATCTGCACCAGACAAGATGCCCAGAAGAGCCTCCTGTCTTCCAGCTGGCGGTTTGTTTTGGGACAGAGGCCATGGTCCTGGCCTGGATCTCAGAGAGTCGGAGGAATTGGTTCTGCGTGGCTCAAACAGGACTGAGAGCCTGCACGGCCCCTGCAGCCCCCGTGCCTCCCCACCCCAGATTGTCTTGTCACAGCCATCACTCTACATCCTGTTCTAGCAGCCATGAGACTGGGCCAAAGGCCTGCCAGGAACCTGGGTACCATCTCTTGCCTGCCTCCTGCCTTCTCAGCTAACCGGGATTGGTCCAGCATCGTGCATGCAGCAGCATCCTCTGTCCCCGCTCTGGGCCCCAGGGGCAGTCTCACGTCCCCCCAGCTGCTGGCAACCTCCAGAACTCACCTTGAGGGTCGGCCAACTTTTCCTAGAAAGGTCCAGATAATAATTTAGGCTTTGCAAGACGCATATGATCTCCATCACATATTCTTTTCTTTCCTTAAAACAACCCTCTAAAAATGTAAAAACCGTTCTTAGCTTGTGGGCCGTACTTTGCCTCCTGCCTTATAATTTAGCTGCCCTGCTTCTGAGGCTCTTCTCTTGCCTAAACACTGGTGGCCCCAGTAGAGATACAAGTGGCAAGGGTTGTCCTGGCCCCCCGTGACCCCACCCACCCCTCTCAGGGAGGGCAGCAGCCCTCTGCTTGATGGCCCTGACGCTCCCAACACTGCCAGCTTCTCCCTCCACTCTGCAGCTCCTGCCCCTCATCCTCACCCTTGTGGCCTGCAGAGCTGGAGAGTGACGAATCGGGAATTTATGCAGAGGAGCTGTTCTGTTTTTAAGAAGAGAAAAAGGAGTATCTGAAAAATGCATTAACCGGGGAAAAAACATGTTGTTTTCACTGAGTTTGCCTTCCCCCAGCAGCCAAATGGAATTTTACCAACTCCGGAACAGCACCAGTGGGCAGAAAACAAAGAAAACGAGGATTCGTCCTAAGGGAAGGGACAGAGTTGTTTCCTGAAAGTTAGATGCCGGCACAAGTGTCAGCCTGGAGTAACTGTGGCCAGGACCAAAAATGCAAAGACAGGGAGGGACAGAGCAGCCACTTAGCTCCCTCCGTTCACTGGGACCTCAGAGGTAATGTCCCATTTTCCGGGACCCTCATGCCCTCATCCCTCCCCTCAGAGGCTATTTCTCGCCTGTTTGTTCCCTTTTTGAAACCCGCTCTGAGAAGTTAGGGCAAGTTCTTCCTCTCCAAACCTTGCCTTCCTTCACAGTGGTTGAAGTGGTAGACTTCCTGACCCAGCATCCTCTCCCTTCCAGAATATTCCATCAGCCCTGCCATCTTCCCTTTGGCCCTTCTTGACCCCTCCCTCTCCTTTTGTCCTGATGAGAGGCCCAACCCTGGAGGAGCTCCACAGAGCACCCAGAAAATGCTCACAGACCCTAATGACCTTCAGGGACAGCGGGGTCACCACCGATGCTTCCTTTTCCTCCCTGGCAAATGCGGGTAACCTCGCAAAGACTCTGGCAAGCTGTCCAATGGTGCTCTGAGAATGCCCCATGCTAAAGGTGTCACACCTGGCCTCACACGGCTGCCCACACATCCACTCCAAGAGAATCTCGCCTTCTTGGCTACCCCCCGTTCAGCCTTGACCGTGCTCCCTCAAAGCACGATCTCGCACTGCAGGCACAGGCTCCCTGCAGTCCTGCCAAATCTTCTCCAGACCTTGCCAAGTTCCTGCACTCTCTCACCGCCTTTGCTCGTGATGCTTTCTGGACCGCTTCTCCAATGAAAGGCCCGTGATCTGGACTCAGCGGTGGTGGTCATTCCCTGGATCTCCAGCAAGGAGGACACAGGAGACAGCCGATATGGCCGGGTCATCATATACCACAAAGGACTTTCATTCTCCTCTGATGGGCTTGTGTATCCAGAAGCCTGAGGCTTGTGTATCCCCGCCTGGTTTCAAGGATATCTGGTTGACCATGACCCTGCGTTGTCTCTGAAGGGCTTCCAGAGGACAGGGTGCCGTGCCCATTGGATTTCAAAACTTTCTAAGCCTGCAAGGTGCTGGCGCAGGATAGTGATGGAGCCCTTCCCTCTTCTCCCAGTGGCCCAGATGATGGTCAAAGCGAGTACAGCTGGGCATGCATTAGCCTTTGGAAATCTGTGGTGTCCCAGGACCTATGCTTCATTCCCCCCCAACCCGAGCCCCCCCTTCACCGGGTTCCCTTGGGACTGTCCCAGCCACAGGCCACCTCTGCAGGCCTCTGCCCAGCCCCTTGCAGTTTAGCGCTGGAGAGTCTTGCTCTTGGCTCAGGCCAGCGGAGTCTCTAGCTGCAGACGCCTCCCCTCCCTCCCTGCCTTCACTATCCCCACTCTATCCTGCTACTGTTGACACTGCTGAAGTTTGCTTTCTTTCCTGCAGGGCCAGTTTCTCACACTTTTTTCTTCTCTCTCTTTGTCTCTGTCTCTCTCTCTCTCTCTTTCTCTCTCTCTCTCCTTCCCCCCGCCCCCGCCCACGGGGCCTCCTCTTTTCACCCTGGCCGGTGGGCTGCCCACCCCGGGCAGGGAAGGCCGGATGGTGGTGCTATCCTTGGTCTTAGGGCTTTCGGAACAGGATGACTTTGCCAATATCCCTGACCTGCAAAACCCAGGAACCCAGCAGAACCAGAACGCTCAGGGGGACAAGAGGTACGAGCACAGGCGAGGGCCTGCGGCGACGGCGGCAGAGGAGGAGGCGCGGAGAGGCCATCTGCCTCGACCGGCCCTGGCTGCTGGACGAGGCGGTGGTGCCTTCAGCGGATGCTGGAGCGGGAGGACGAGTCCTCTCCCCAGCCGGTGCCCTCACACACAGCCACCTCGGTGGTGTCCCTGGGGTCTGAGGCCACTCGAGGCCATCCTGGGACCATTCTGGATCAGGCCTGCTCTCTGGCATGCTTGCCCCAGCCTGGAGCAAGCGCAGCCTTTTCTACCCCATCTTCCTGCTTGGCTCCTCTCTGCTGCCCCTCCATATTTCATCTGTCCCCACCCCAACCGGAAATCCCCGTTTCTCTGGTGGTTGGTGGGCGGGGGGGATGTTAGGGAAGGGGCGCCAGCCTGTTCTCCCTCATCCCCACCCCCTCAACCTCCTTCTTGCCTGGAGGTCCCGTTGGGCTGCTTGGCTGATGGAAGAGGAGTCCACGGTGGGAGGGTCTGGGGCATGGGAGAGCCCTGGTGACCAGAGATAAGCAGAAGGCTCACCCCTGAGCCAGGGCACCAGGAGGGAGCTGGGGAGGGCCCGGAGTGGTGCAGGCAGCCATCCTGAGCAAGGGTGAGGCCTGGCTTTGTTGGGTTCCCTGTCACTGCTGCTGGCCTTGGGACCCTATGGAGACCAGGAATAGCCTGTGTAGCCACAGCACAGGCCAAGCAGAAGGCTGGGCATTTAAACTGCCATAGCTTCAGCTATCGGGAATTCAGGGAAGCAGCTCCTTCTGTCCCCTGTCTCAGGGAAGAGGGGATGCTGCTCATGGGGAATGGGTAGGGGAGGGAGGTCCCAGGGTTCAGGCAGCATCCCACAGCCAGGGCCATTATAGATGCCTGAGCTTAGTTGGGTTGACCACTCCTGTGGTTCCCAGGATGAATTAGCCGTTGGGAATCATGGGAGGAGGGGCTGTCAACCTGATTGGGTCTGCTTCTCATCAGCCCAAAGGCCTGCCAGAGAATGTGTGGCCTGGCAGCCAAGACACCTGCCTTCTAGCTCTGGTTCTGCCAGAGCCTCACTCTGCATCCTTGGGGGACTCACAGCCCCTCACTGGGTTCTCTGCTCACTGCTCTGTCCAGCGAAGGATTGGATGGGGCAACCTCTAAGGAATGGCCCCTCAGGCTCAGATATGCAAAGCTTTTAATGAGAAAAAAAACAGGCCCCTGGGCTGGAGCATGTGTCCTGTGCCCTGCACAGGGACTGTTTGGACGGGCCATCCTGAGGCTCTTGAGAGGCCCCTAGGTGCCAGAAGGGACCACCCCAGGCTGCTGCCCTGGGCTTGTGGGTTAGGGAGGGCAGATAGGCTGAGAGGCAGACAGCTGGCTCACCTGTCCCTCTGGTGGCTCCTGGAGACCACCCCTCTCAGTTTCGTCCCATCCTGAGTCCACAGTGGCATGGTCTGTGGTGGGCAAGTCTGGAAGTCTCCAGAGAGTGGGGTCAGGTCTTCCACTCAGTGGCACAATTGGTGTCACCCCTGAGCCCACATAGAGGGATATGGGAGGAGCAGAGCCTGCCACCCCTGACCCACTGGGGCACTACAGAAGCTGTGACTTCCTGAGTCAGGGCCTCAAAGCTGGGCTGCAGGGCAGTCAGAGGGCCACTGGGAGGGCTAGGGGCCAGGGGCGAGAAGACACAGGGGGTGGCTGGAGTCCTCTGAACGCCCCACTAAGAACATGAGACTGGTGCTGGGAAAGGTGTGAAGTGTGAGGGAGCAGATGCAGGCTGGAAACGAGATTTCACGTCACCCATGTGTTAATGAACTGGCTCCATCGTCACCCACAGTCTATTTTTACCTCCTCACCTCTTGGGTCTCACTCCATACTTAACACACCCATCCCTTCTGATCATCACATCTGCTTGTCCCCTGCCTTCCTGGGAAAGGTGGGTGTGGGAGTGGAGGCTGTGCGCCCTTGCCACCACCTGGCCTGACTTTCCGAGTGGACCGTGCCGTTCCCACCTCATCATGCCCACCCATCCTGGAAACTCATTTCTCATGGCCCCTGCGGTGCTTCTTGGGTTGTGGGCTGCCACAGGGGTCCAGAATCCAGTGCTTCATTCCCAGCAGACTCTCCCCTTCCCAAAGCTTGGCATTGGCACCACCCACTGGACACCGGGCACCTTACGGTGCCATGCTTCTGAGTTCCTGGACCCTCAGACCTGGGAGTGGTGGCCTTGGGGGGGCTGTCCCTCCTCTTCAGCCTTTCCTTCTAGAATAGGCCCACGGTCTGCCCTGCCCCCATCCCTGCCCTTCTCTCCCCAGCTGACCCTTGACCAGGTGTCACTGGAGGAAGGGGTGGTGGCCCTTGGCTGTCACTGGGGAGGACACTCAGCCGCCTTGGTCTCTTAGCACCAGGCTCATGGGAGACAGCATCCCGGGAGGAGGAGTGGCCATTCCAGGTTCCAGACAATGTGGAAGCATGTCCAGCAAGCAGCAGGAGATGGGAGGGCCAGTCACTGCCTCTGTCCCCATGGTTTTGTGTCCCTGAAGTCCCCCATCCTGGATACTTCGGGGAGCTCCTGGGCCTCATCACAGCACTTCAGAGTGCGCTCCCCAGAGGGGAGCAGGGAGGGAGGCCCTGGGTCCACACCCTGCTGCGCCCATTCCACCCTCAGCCACTCTGCTCCATCCACCCCTTCATGCAGTCTGCCATCGTTTCACCATTGCTCCTTGGGATCCAAATGGTTTCCACCGTGGCCCACCCCCACCCCAAGTGGGGGACGGGGCAAGGCGGGGACCAGGCCTCCCCCCATTGCTCTCCCTACTCTGAAGCCACCATGTTCCTCTGTCACGGTGTGTGTCCCCCGCCTCCTCTCTGCCTCTCCTGTTGGCCGCACGCTCCTCCTTGTCCCCTCGTCCACCCGGCAGCCTTCACACGTCTCTGACTAACCTTCTTGGCCTCTCTCTCCCTCTGTCTCCTTTCTCCCATCTGCTCCCCACAGGGCTGCCCTGGGCCGGTGATGCGCCCTTTGGCTTCTCCCTCTGCCTCTCTCTGTGCCTCTCACCTCTGTCTCTCTGTCCTGTGACCTCCGACAGCTTCAGTGGCGCTGACCATCTTTCCCAGGCTGCTTGGCAGCTGTGCCGACGCTGCGGCGTGGCCAAATAACTCTGACGTTCTCATACCTTCAGCAGTCAATCTCACACTCTCCCTGCTCTCCCGCTCTGTTTCTAACCTGACTTTACCTCTCTAGCTGTTTCGGGCTCCTTTCCTTCCCCCTGCCTGCCTGTGGGAGCACGTGTCCTCTGTGTGTGTGTGTGGTGCGCGCGTGTCCATATGTCCATGTGTGCCCTTGGGGAGGGGTACCCACCTGTCACTGGGTGGAGTGGGCGTTTCTGTGTTGTAGAGACAGGGCCAGGTTTTCACAACAGGTATATTGTGCTTCTGATAATCACGATGTTAGGCCCTGAAACCACTCCCTGCCTTTTCCATTTCAGTTTGTCCCGTTCACGTGCACACGTGGCGTGCCTAGGTCTCCTCGGTATGCCTCCTCTTGGGGTCTCTGTGCTCATCGCTGTATGTGTGTGATCACTGCTGCTCTGCTTGGCCTGCCCAGGCCCCATGCCACCCTCTCCCTGCTCCTTTGGGTGTCTGTAGGGCTTGTGTGCATGTGTGTGTGTGTACATGTGCACACCTGTGTGTGTGTGTGTGTGTGTGCGTGCGTGCACACCCTGCTTTGGGACCCCGATGTCTCCTCTCAGGGCCTGGCATATTCTATGCATGTCTGTCTGCCTGCCTGTCGTGGCCGTCTGTGTGCTGGAGACTGGTCTCTACCAGAGGGCCATAGCTCATGTCCACCCTCAGCGTGTGGCTCCCAGTTTGTGTCTGTGTGCTCTCAAAGTTGTTCTATTTTAGCCTGTCCTGAGACTCATGCTACTGATCCCCCGTCTCCTCCTCCATGCCTACCCCCACCTCTCTTCCTCCTCATGGGACATTCCAGCCTGGTCCCTGGGCAGGCTTTTAGTGCCCCCTTCCTGAGCTCCAACTGAACAGAGCCTGGGCTCACCACCCAGCAACTGGGTCAGAGAGCCCAGCATCTTGGGAACAGCGTGGAGTTGGGTGCTGACAGGGCTTCTCGGTGGTGCCCGTCTTTCTGTGACCGTGGGTGAGAGAGCCTTATCAAATGCAGTCTTCAGCAAGTGGGAGAAGGATGGGAACTGGGGAGCAGGGGTGTAGGCTCACCCTATCAAATAGGGGGCTATTAAACCTAAATGAGCTACATTCAACAAAATTAAAATTTCAGCTCTCAGCCACACTGGCCACATTGCAAATGCTCAAATGCACGCATGTGGCATGTGGCTGCTCCACTGGACAGCACAAATACAGAACGCTGTCACTATGGAAAGTTATCCTGACCTCACCTGGTCAGTCTCGTGTCTGGAGGGTGGAAAGAGGATTCTTGATGAGCTCAAGCAAACACAGGTGGGGCATCTGGGAGACAGACATTCTGGGCGTGTTTGAAGAGGGTAATGACGCGGAGAGGCACCTGGACACACCATGCCACGGCGGAGCCTCCCCCTTCCAGTCTGGGGGCGGGTGGAATAGCACCGGCCTCTGGGAAGTGGGGGCGATGGACAGCTCAGAAACCAACTATACAAGCCAATGACTGGAGGGTGGGGGTTTTCTGGGGAACAGGAAAAACGGGGACACCCCTCAAAATATCCCCTATAGGAGTAGTTAAGCCACAGTCACCTGGGGCAGAGGTTGCAAGGAGAATGGGCCCCGGGTGTGGGTCTCCAGGGAAAAGCAGGCATCCACCTGGACAGGAGTACTGGCAGCTGCTGGGGTCTACAGAGAAGGTCCTGCCACCCCCCAGGCTGGGGTGCCCAACCCAGCTCACTCCCCAGCCCAATCTCATTCGGACTCCCCTGCCCCCAGGTTGCCTGCAGGAGGGAAGGCAGTGAACACAGCCCCGGTGCCAGGCCAGACACCCCATGATGAGTCCGACCGCCGGACCGAGCCACACTCCTCCGTCTCAGACCTCGTCAACTCCCTCACCAGCGAGATGCTCATGGTGAGAATGGGGGAGCCTGGGCTGGGAGGCCAGGGCAGGGAGAAGAGGGATGTGTGTGGGAACTGGCAACGGCATGGGAGTCCAGGGAGGGGAACCGGGTCAGAAGCAGCCTGGAGAGCCAGGCCACTGGGCGCTTGATGACTGAGTGTGCAAGGTCTGGGCTTGTTGCCAGCTCTTTCACCAAAGTATCTTCTCCGTGTCTTCATTTCTTCCTTTAACAAGTGAAAATAAGAATTGCAATCCTGCTTTGATCCCTTTGTGGATTGAAAAGGGGCCAAAGCAAACCCACTCATGCAAGACACTTTCAGGATTCTAGAAAGAAGAGCTGGTGGGCAGAGGACTCAGGAGAGAAGGTGTCCCCTCCCAGGAATGGTGTCCCCTTAAGTGGAGGTCTGGGTGGAAGGCCTAGCCCAGCGACCTCCCCCATTCCCATGGCTGGAGGCCCCTGAGAGCAGAACAGCAGGAATCCACTGGTCCTGGCGCCTCTGAGGGGACAACTGTGGTGGGGTGCTCCTGTCCACACCCCACCGGAGGCCTCTAACCCATTGGGATCCTAGTTCTAGGTTGTTTGGCCCAGGCAGAGATTGTGGTTCCCATGGTGCCTCCAGGGGGCAGAAGTGAGTCACAGCCACTTGCCCTGCCCTCCCCTGGAGGGAGAAAACGGGAGATTGGCAGGCAGGAATCCGTTAAAAGTTCGGCAGCTCTGAAGTCACAGGAGTGCTTGAAAAGGAGATGAGGTTGGGAACCAGCAACTGCTCTGTTCCTACTGGTCTTGACCTGGGACATTTCATCTCCTCGAATTGAACCCCTCCCTCCTGTAGAGAGAAGGAAGTAGGAAGTAGGCTTGGGAACTCCCAGCCCCTCAACCACTGCCCTGGCACCAGAGCCCTGTCCTTCTGCCATGTAGTATTCCAGCCAGCTCTAACCATCCATTCCCTTCTAGCCTGGTGTTTCTCAAATTGCTCTGTACACAGGAATCCCCCAGGAACCTTGTTAAAATGCAGATTCCTGGTCCTTAGGTAGGGCCTAAGAGCCTGCTTTTTTTTTTTTTTTTTTTTTTGAGACAGAGTCTCACTCTGTCCCCCAGGCTGGAGTGCAGTGGCACGATCTCAACTCACTGCAACCTCCACCTCCTGAGCTCAAGTGATTCTCCTGCCTCAGCCTCTCAAGTAGCTGCGATTACAGTAGTACCCCACCATGCTCAGCTAATTTTTGTATTTTTAGTAAAGACAGGGTTTCACCATGTTGGCCAGGCTGGTCTCAATCTCCTAGCCTCAAGTTATCTGCCTGCCTCCGCCTCCCAAAGTGCTGGGATTACAGGTGGGAGCCCCCGCGCCCGGCCTGTCCTGTAGTTTTCATGGACCACTTTAGATCATCAGATTTTCCACATCCAGATTGGGTCACCTTGGGCCTCCCCCCTCTCCCCTTCTTCCTACCCACCAGGCCCCTGTGTATCTGGCTCTCCACTGCTCTCCTTCCATCTTCCCCCACCGAGACAGACTGGCCCCAGCTGTCCTCCCCTCTGGATGGCCATTGCCACAGCCCACCCTGCCTCCCTGCACAGCCCCTTAATTCATTACAGCTTCCTGGTAGCCAGGTTCCCAGAAGGGATGGCCCTTTCCCAGACAGCTTGCCTGTGCCCTTGCTGCCCCCAGGGAGGGGCTGACAGCTGCAGCCAGCGGAAGGAAGCGCAGGCCTCATCTCCCTCTCCTGTGCTGGGAGGATACTCAGAGGTGGGAAGGCAGAGTCTAATTGCACAGCTCTGTGCCAATGCCAGGTCATTGACATTAACAGGCATGATAAGATAAGCAGGGCAGAATCAGCTCACTGTGACCTCAGCCTGTCCTGGTCTCCAGACCCTAGGCTGTGGAATCTGGGGGTCAAAAGACAAGAGTGGGCTGGGCACAGTGGCTCATGCCTATAATCCCAGCACTTTGGAAGGCCAAGGTGAGGGGGATAATCTGAGGTCGGAAGTTTGAGACAAACCTGGCCAACATGGAGAAGCCCCTTCTCTGCTAAAAATGCAAAATTAGCTGGCCTTGCTGTCGCATGCCTGTAGTCCCAGCTGCTTGGGATACTGAGGCAGGAGAATCACTTGAGCCCGGGAGGCAGAGGTTGCAGGAAGCCGAGATCGTGCCACTGCACTCCAGCCTGGGCAACAAGAGCAAAACTCCATCTCAAAAAAAAGAGGGAGAGACAAGAGTGGAGCACCCCGAGCTGGCCAGAGAAGGGACTGAGGGGCAGAGGTGTCTGAGAAGCTGCCAGGCCACACCTGCCTCTGAGCATCTCCTGCCCTGGCACAGGAATAGCCTGCTGCTTTTTGAGGCTGACTTCTCCTAGTACAAGGGCTCCGGTAGCACCTTCCCTGACTCTGATGGCGTGGCCAACCTGGTTGCCATAGAGATGGCTCTGTCCCAGCTGAATAATTAGGGCTCAGGGCTGTGGCTTGGGAAGGCTGGGAGTGGGCACAGAGCTGCCACCCCTTTCCCAGGTGAAACCCGCCTGGCCAGCCCAGGCCTTCCCAAGACCACACAATTTTGAAGCCAAGAGCCGAGGGACCAGAGGGACCTCAAGTGGGGCTGGGGCCAGCCAGGCTGCAGTCACCAGCAACTCCCCCTCAACTTGAGAAGCAAGGGTGAGGCCGAGTGATCTCCCACCTGACCTACTTGGTCCTTCTGCCAGTGGGTCAGGTCATGGAGCAAAACTCTAGAAGGTACATGGACCCGCTTAGCTCTCCCAGGACCCCACAAAGTAGGTTTCACAGTCCCCACTCTGCAGATGTAAACACAGGGTCAAAGGGTATGGTGCCGGCATGGGCGGGGAAAAGAGCATCAGGGAGGCGGGGCAGGGTAGCTCATGCCTGTAATCCCAGCACTTTGGGAGGCTGAGGCGGGCGGATCATGAAGTCAAAAGTTCAAGACCAGCCTGGCCAACATAGTGAAACCCCATCTCTACTAAAAATACAAAAATTAGCTGGGTGTGGTGGCAGGTGCCTGTAGTCCCAGCTACTTGGGAGGCTGAGGTGGGAGAATAGCTTGAACCCAGGAGATGGAGGTTGCAGAGAGCTGAGATCATGCCACTGCACTCCCGCCTGGGCAACACAGCGAGACTCTGTCTCAAAAAAAAAAAGGGAACATCAGGGAAAAGCAGATTCTGGGCAGGTAAGCCATATTCTCAGTGGGGCGGTGATGGAGCTTGTGGGGTTATCTGGATGGTTATCTGGATTGGCCAAGGGGTGAGGGCTGGAGGGACCATCTTCTGCTGTAAGGCAGCTCAGCACCCCTGCCCCCAGCCAGGCAGGACCAAGGTAAAGCCCCAGACTGTAGATCTGAGTGCAAGAGCAAGCCGCAGGTGGAAGGGCACTCAGGATTCCTGGGTGCTAACCTGGGTTCTGTTCCCACTGGGCATTCAATCTCGGGAAAGTGTTCTAGCTGTGTTCCAAGTATTCCAGTGGGAGTGCAGTGCCTGCCTCACTGGGATGCTGTAAGAGGTCAGTGAGGACAAGGCACAGGGCACAGGGCAGGGTTTGGTGAGGCAGGCGGACAGCCAGTCCATGGTGGTTACTATTATGAGTGTGAGGCTGGGCACGTGGTTCACGCCTGTAATCCCAGGACTTAGGGAGGCCGAGGTGCAGATCACCTGTGGCCAAGAGTTTGAGACCACCCTGGCCAACATGGCGAAAACCTGTCTCTACTGAAGTACAAAAATTGGCCGGGCGTAGTGGCAGAAGCCTGTGGTCCCAGCTACTCGGGAGGCTAAGGCACGAAAATCACTTGCACCATTGCACTCCAGCCTTGGCAACAGAGTGAGACCCTGTCTCAAAAAAACAAAAACAAAAAACTATTATGAGTGGGATCTGACGCTTTTCACCTGGCATGGTGAGTCCTCGGATCTTTGCTGGCTTGAGGGGGACACCTCAGTGCTGCCCTGGGGTGTGGGCCTGCTTTAGTGGAAAGAGCAGGATATCAAATCAGAGGGGGTTCATCCTGCTGTGCAGTCTTGGCCATGTGACTTAACCTCTCTGAGCAAGTCTCCTCAGCTAGAGGGTGGTGACACCTGCCTCACCTGGCTATTGTCAGGATTCAGTAAGGAGGAGGCGAGGTAAGAGTCTCCGGTTGTGGTAGGAGCACTGTGTGCATGCGTTATTATTATCCGTCCTACTTAGTCATTCAGAGCCTAGGGCTGCCCCTCCAGGGTGCAGGAGAGAGCACAAAGCAGGTTTCTGCAGGAGAGGCAGGGAGAGAAGGGTGCCTGCAGTTTGTCTTAACTCCATCCCTCATCCAACCATCATGGGAGATTTTCCAGACGGGGTGCCTAAGCCATGTGGTCCCCTAACTGGGTCTGTTTTTGTCAGTGGCCTGGGGCTGCTCTCAGGCGGCTGGAGGGTGGACAGGGCTCTAAACCCTCCCAGGTACTCCCAGTGTGCCCACAGCTTCACACACCTGGCCAGAAGGTCCACCTCCCAGCTGCTTCCTGTGGTTCCATGTCAGGATGCAATGAGATGCCCACCCTGCCTCTGTGTGACTGTCCATTGCTGGGTCAGCCCAAGCGCCCTCCCTCCCAGCAGCCCTCAGCCCCGATGGGTGGTACAGTCATCTGAGGTCTGAGGCGCCTTTTTTTGAGACGGAGTCTTGCACCATCACCCGGGCTGGAGTGCAATGGCACGATCTCAGTTCACGGCAGCCTCCACCCCCCAGGTTCACACGATCCTCCTGCCGCAGCCTCCCAAGTAGCTGGGGATTTTTGTGTACCTGGCTAATTTTGTGTATTTTTAGTAGAGACGGGGTTTCACTATGTTAGTCAGACTGGTCTCCAACTCCTGACCTTGTGATCCTCCCGCCTTGGCCTCCCAAAGTGCTGGGATTACAGGCATGAGCCACTGCACCTGGCCTGAGGCACCTTTTACACAGCACTGATGCCCAGGCCCACACCAGCTCCATCTAGTCAGACTGGCTGGGGATGGGGCCTGGGGAGTCTGCGATTTTCATGTCCCTAGTGATTCTGCCTTACACGAACAGACATTACTCCTGAAAACTTTCCTCTCTCATTTTGTAAATCACCTCATTCTCCGCACCCCAGAGAGTCACTTTCCAAAGAATTATTATGATAAACTCTCTTGCAATATGAGCAGCCTCCCCCATCTGCCATTTAGCCCAGGTTTGTGCATCCACAGAGGCCCCCCTCCCATGCCACAGGAGGGCAGGGAGGTCAGGGGGGTCAGAAACCCCAGCACATGCCAGGCCAGTTGGGGCCAGGGAGGCGAGACCGCTGAGCTGGAGCTTGGGGCAGGCGGCAGACCCAGAGCCGTGAGGAGAGCCTAGGAAACAGGTGTTATGCATACGGCTCTGAGGTTCAGGAAACAGGGCTGTCTCAGCTCTACCCTCCCCTCTTCCCTCCCCTCCTGGGAGACCCTGGTCAAGGCACCTGCCCTCTGAGCCTGAACAGCGTCCGTGGATGTGAGTGTGGGATGGGCCACCTCCTCTGGCCTCTCGCCCATGCTGGGCAGCAGTGGGGACATAGGGGAAGCAGAGTCCTCCCCAACCCTGTGGCCTCTCCCCTACCCTCAGCTCTCCCCAGGCTCAGAGGAAGACGAGGCCCACGAGGGCTGTAGCCGAGAGAACCTGGGCCGGATCCAGTTCAGCGTCGGCTACAACTTCCAGGAGTCCACGCTCACCGTGAAGATCATGAAGGCCCAGGAGCTGCCGGCCAAGGACTTCAGCGGCACCAGCGACCCCTTTGTCAAGATCTACCTGCTGCCCGACAAGAAACACAAGCTGGAGACCAAGGTGAAGCGGAAGAACCTAAACCCCCACTGGAACGAGACCTTCCTCTTCGAAGGTGAGGCTAGTGCCGCCCTCCTCCTGCCACAGTCACCTCTTGCCGTCCGCCATCCCCCTACCCAACCACACATGTGGCCACATGCACAGACACATATGTGTACACACACCTGCAGCCCCACAAATGCACAGACACACACACGAGCAGATGCAAGTCTGTGCACACCTGCTTGCGTGCACAGACACAAATCCACACACACATGCGCTCCCACACAGGCAATGTCTAGGCCCGGTTAACCTGATGCATTTTGTGTCTAGTTGGGATCAGGTCACAGGAGCCAAGTGGAGCCAGCATCACAGCCAGAGGCCGAGGAGGGAAGCCAGGCCACCACTGGCGTTTCAGCCCAGACGCACAGCTCATCCTGAGGAGGGCAGGAAGGGAGGGAAGGAGGCACCCACAGGACTCAGAGCCGGAGCACCCTGGAGCCACCAGAGTGTAGTGGTTCAGTGCACAGGCTGTGGCCCACACTGCCTGGGTTCAGTTCCCAGCTCCTGACCTTGGGCAAGTTTCTGAGCCAAGTTTACTGGCTGCATGACCTTGGGCTAGTTGCTGAGCCTCCCTATGACTTGGTTTCCTCATCTGCAGAACAGAGATAATAATAGTGAGGGTTGAACAAATGAGTGAGTTGTAGAGGCACTCAGAACAGTGCCTGACACCCAGCGAATGTTTGACACCAGGTTGTTAAACACACTCCATCTGTTGCCCTTCTGACCCCCTCCCCCACGTGGGACAGGAACAACAGCTCTGAACCATGCCTGGAGGTCGCTGAGAAAAATGTCCTTTCTCTCTCCTGCAAGCCCTCTCTGAAGGCCGGTCTTTATCTCTTATCTCTGAGGATTCAAGGTAACCAGGAAGCTGGGCATGTGATTAAGGAGTGATTTCTATCCCAGGGCCTTTGGGTGCTAGGACCCCACTTAGAGAAGCCGTAACCCTTTGCCCATGGCCCCCGGTTCAACCAGGAAGAGTAAATCCCTACTCCAGCTGCCCTGAGCCCTAGCCTTCCAGAACCTTCACCGTGTACCCCAGGGACCTTTCCTTATCTGCTGTCCCAGCCACTTAGCACCCCCCCTCTTCTGCAACATGACAGCCAGGTCACCCACCAACTGGCACTGCGGGTGAGCAGTGAATGCTCATGTGTCTCTGAGGGCAGAGATGGCTCAACAGTGAGGGTTTTGGCTGTCTGGAGGTTTGTGTAGCCAGCTGGCAGAGCGAGGTTTTTGAGCAGAACTCTGATCCCCCAGTGTCTTCCACAAGCCCGTACCCAGCAACAATCATGAGCTGGGCACTCTTCTAGATCCTGGGGGTGTAGAAAAGAATGGGGCACCATTATGGCCCTCAAGACAGATAACTCAGTCACACACAGCATGACAGGAACTGCAGGAACCCAGTATGAGCTCCCTTTGGTGGTGCTGAAGAAAATTTCTCAGAAGAGGGACCATTCAAAAGGGGTTCTGATGGATGATTAGGAGTTTGCCAGCTAGGAGCCTGCCTCTTTTGGTGTTGATGAGGGCTGACGGGTTCAGGGACCTCTTGGAGCTCCCGACATTCCCAGAAGACTTGTCCTTATGCATTTTACCTGAATCGATACCAAGGGTCTCCTGGGCTAGGTCCCTGGGGGACTTTGAAATAAGCAAGACACAGCTTCCCTCAATATGAGGAAAGGGACCCTGAACAAATTCAGAATCTCCTCTTCCAGCTCATCTGCTCTTGTCAGAGCTCCTCAGTGCTTCCAGAATCTCTGGGGAAGGTGCTGGAATCCCCTGGAGCCCCTCCAGAGGATTTTGTGTCTAGCTGGGATCAAGTCACAGGAGCTAAGCTTGTGCACATCTGTACCAGCCAGGCTGAGGTTCCAGGCATCCTCCTTCCCGCTCACACCCAGGTTCAGAATCTCCTCACCTCAGGCCTCCAGGCTGGCCTGTGCCCTGCACCTCCCGGGCCAGCCCCATCTCTGACTAAGCCTCCCAGGAGCTCGTGACTCCCGGCTTCAGACCTGCCCCTGGCCCCCTCTTCCCTCCTCCATCCCATCCAAGCCCCTTCTGCTCCTCTCGCTCTGACCTTAGCTCCCACCTCACCTCAGCACAGTCCTACTGCTCCATCAGGCCATTCCATTGGCATTTATTCATCTGTTCAATTATGCATTCACTTAACAAATATGTATTGAGTGCCTACTATGTGCCAGAAACGGTGTTAGACATGGTCCAGTGGTTGGTAACAGAGATGCCTTCCTGGGAATCCTAGCCTTCTGGGAGAGCCAGACAAAAATCAGGGAAAGAGACAGAGAAATCTGTTACCGTGTGTGACATGTTTTGTGGGGAAAAAAAGGTGCTAGAGTGGATAACCGAACACTGTCTCTGGTGCCAGGAAAGAATGCTGAGACCAGAAGGATGAGAGTAGCCAGGAGGAGGGCATGGTGGGGCCAGCGTGCATCCGGCCCGGGGGCGGGAGGGGTTGGGGTATGGAAGGGCCAGGAAGGCTGATGTGGCTGGAACCCAGTCATTGAGTGAAGAGCGGTCACAAGCCGAGCAGGGAGAGGACAGCCGGGCCAAATTGCGGAAGGACTTGAAGCCAAGGTAGGGTGCCCGGCTTTTATTCTAAGTGCACTGGGAACCATTGAAAGGCTTTAAGCAGGAGCACATCGTGATGGAATTTCTATTTTTAAAAGATCTCTCTGGCAGCTGCATTGAGAATGGACCGTAGGAGAAAGCGTGGATGCAGGGAGGGCGGTTTGGAGACGCTTGTGGCTGTCTAGGCAAGAGGTGCCAGTGCCTTGGACAAGGGAGGTGGCAGTAGAGAAGGGGATGCTGCGGGAAGAAGAACAGAAGCACAGGCAGGAGGAGAGGGGCACAGAGTCACAGGACACTTGTCACCTCCTGCTTCTGTGCTTTTGCCTTTCCCTCCCACCAGTGCCCCCCCATGCCCCGCTGCCCTGAGTCCTCCTGGGGCCTGCGTCCTGGCAGCTGTGGCCACCTAGGCAGAGCCACTTCCCCATACCTGCCTCGGGATGATTGGCAGCGCTGCCCATCCACTGAGATGGACACAAGGTGCATGGGTGAATGGATGACCGCAGTTCTACTCTTTACTAGCTGGGACTCTGGGCAAGTAATTTAAGCCATCTGAGCCTCATCTGTAAGATGGACAAGATGCCACTGACCTTGGAGAATTGTTGAGGGAGTCCCATGAGATAGTGACAGTTCTTGCCAGCACTTCAGTAAGGTCTAATTGCAATCCGGTGTGCCTGCTGGCCCAGTGGGTTGGCAGCGGGAGGGCACAGGGCCTGCCTCCTCTTCCCAGGGCCTTCCTTGCCTCCTGGGCCCTGTGTGGCTCCTCTTTCCCCCTCTTTACTGGCACTCCTCTGTACCCCCAGGTTTTCCCTATGAGAAGGTGGTGCAGAGGATCCTCTACCTCCAAGTCCTGGACTATGACCGCTTCAGCCGCAACGACCCCATCGGGGAGGTGTCCATCCCCCTTAACAAGGTGGACCTGACCCAGATGCAGACCTTCTGGAAGGACCTGAAGCCATGCAGCGATGGGAGTGTAAGGCCCCATGGGTGGGCCTTACCTGGACAGGCAGCAGGGCAGGGCTGGCAATCTGCTCCCAGACCCTCATCAACCTTAGGAAGGCCAGGAGGGCTGGGGGAGAGGGGGCAGGTGGGCGGTTCTAATGGAGCACAGTCCTCGTCAGCAGTTGGAGCACTGGTGCTTGGTGCCCAGGGGACTCACCTGATCTGTAAGAAGGAACCTAGGAATTTGTCCAGGGAACAGAGAGGGGATGGTGGCCCTGGGAGGGGCAGTTCACACACCTGCCAGAGTGGGGGAGACAGAGTGAGACAGAGATGACAGATAGGGTCATGGGTAAGCACCCAGGTCAGTGTAGAGGAGGCCTGGGGGCCGCTGGTCCAATCAGAGAGCTCTGCCAGACGTTCCCACACCCTCCCGTTGTGCCTCTCAGGGGAGCCGAGGGGAGCTGCTCTTGTCTCTCTGCTACAACCCCTCTGCCAACTCCATCATCGTGAACATCATCAAAGCCCGGAACCTCAAAGCCATGGACATCGGGGGCACATCAGGTGTGGGGCTGCTCGGGCAGAGGATGGGCGGGCGGGCGGGGAGGCTTTGGTGACATGAGGGTTACACGGCAGATGGAGAGCAGGGTCCGCAGTGATCCTCACCCCCACCCCTCACACCCCAACCTCCAGTCCTCCCTCCTTACCCTAGAGACCTTGGGGGCCCCCTTTGGAACACCCTCATCTTGAACCCTAGGTCAGGATCAGCATCATCTTGGACTCCGTTCTTCAGGAAGAAAGGGAACACCGTGGGAAGACCTGGGTTCTAGCCCCAGCTCTGATGCTACTTGCATGAGATTCTGGGCAAGACCTGGCCTCTCTGATACTATCCTCACTGATAGTAACGGGAGGGCCCCAGGTGATCTCTAAGGTCCATCTGCTGATTCTCCCAGGACCCTCTCATTCTGGCCTGGGTCTCTCCTTGCCTCTGGGGAAAGCACCTGGCCCTCCTGCCTCAGCTTCCATACCTGGAAGGGGAAAGGGATCCTAGGAAGTCCCTCCCCTACTGTCCCTCTAACCCTTCCCCACTCCCTCCCCCAGACCCCTATGTGAAGGTGTGGCTGATGTACAAGGACAAGCGGGTGGAAAAGAAGAAGACTGTGACGATGAAGAGGAACCTGAACCCCATCTTCAACGAGTCCTTCGCCTTCGATATCCCCACGGAGAAGCTGAGGGAGACGACCATCATCATCACCGTCATGGACAAGGACAAGCTCAGCCGCAATGACGTCATCGGCAAGGTAGGGGCGAGGCTGGTGGTGTGGTGCACACAGCTGGCTCCATTCCTTAAAAGAAGCAGCAGGGGTGGTGGATGAGCATGGGCTGGACACCAGGAGAGATGGGGATTGATCTCCTCCCCTCTTGGGACTCCATGTCTTCATCCAAAAATAAGGGGATTAGATGACACCCTCCCTGGGGTTCCTCTCTAAGTGTCCTCCTATGGGTAAGTCAGCTGAGGACAGACCACCAGCAGGGCAGGGAAAGAAGGAATGGGAGAGAGGAATGACCTGGATCTCAAAAGAAAGGTTTTCTGGACAGGATGATGATGTTGGAACAGTATTGCCCAGGGTCCCATCTGCACAGGGTGAGCTCTGTGGGGCAGCGTTGGGAGCTGCAGTCAGACTCCAAAGACTTCCTTTCAGTTCCCACCCCATCTGCCAAGAAACAACCATAACCTTGGGCAGGTGGCTTGGCCTCTCCAGGCTTTAGTGTTCTCATCTGTAAAATGGAGCTACTTACACTGTCCCTGTGGAACTTCACAGGTGGTGTAAGAATTGCTTGAGGCATGCGGATGTCTGCTCTTAGAAAGTTGGCCAGGCCCAGGGGCTCACGCCTGTAATCCCAGCACTTCGGGAGGCCGAGGCAGGCGGATCACGAGGTCAGGAGTTTGAGACCAGCCTGGCCAACATGGTGAAACCCCGTCTCTATTAAAAATATAAAAATATTAGCCAGTTGTGGCAGCAGGTGCCTGTAATCCCAGCTACTCAGGAGGCCGAGGCAGGAGAATTGCTTGAACCTGAGAGGCAGAGGTTGCAATGAGCCAGGATTGTGAGACTGTACTCCAGCCTAGGCAACAGAGCGAGACTCTGCCTTAAAAAAAACAAAAAGTAATCTCTTTGTATCACATAACCAAAAAATTCATACCTGACCTTGATTTTTCTCAGGATGGGATTCTGTGACATAAACCCTTCCATGTTTCTGCCTTAAAATGTCTATTCTTGTGTTTATTTATGGTTCAGTGTTGAGAGCATGGGCCCGGGAGTCAGATCGCCTGGGTCCAAATCCTAGCCATGCTTTTTAACCGCCGTAACCTATCTGAACCTCATTTTCTCCTCTCAGAATGAGAGTAGGACAATCCTCCCCTCACAGTGTGCTGGGAGGATTAAGTCAGATCACACAGGTGAGCTGTTCTGCATAGTACTTGAAACACATGCTAGCTAGTATTATAATAAAGGGGCATATATGTCAATATATGGCGGTTTGACCAGGAGCAGGTGAGGAACCAGTGCTCAGGGCAGGCATGAGGGAAGGGGAGATTCCAGGAGTGAGTGAGGGGCACACACCTGTGTCGGGGAAAGGGAAAGGGGAACTGGATACCCACAGGGAAGGGAGCTGAGTTGGGGGCAGCCCTCAGACAGATGGGACTGGAGAACTCAGTGGCTGGGGGTGAGGAGGGCAGCCTGGCCTCAAAGAGAAGAGCTGACCCTGCCTGCCATCAGGTACAGCACGGGGAGTATGACTGGCCAGTCTGTGGTCACAGGTGAGACGACTCCCCAGGACATTGTCCCCCTTGACCAACTCAGGCCAAAGGTCAGGTAACCATTTCTACTTTGATGTTCTTTTGAAGCTTAGCCTTTTGAGGTTGGGTGTTCCTTAGATACCAGTTAGATCTCCTTTTGAAATGGTCCTCCCTTCTGTTGGCTGAACCAAAGCAAACGTGGATTTGTTCTCACTTGGGCCTGGGTAACTTAGGGAGCCCACGGATCTCTGAATCCTTCTGACTCCCAGCTCCTGCTCATCCCCTGGAAGCCAAGAGTCTCTGCCCCTCCTGTCTGCCTGGCATCGTCCAAGGCCGTAGGTCTCATGCTGGGCTGAGGTTGCAATGGGGGCAGTCCCAGAGCAGGGCAGGCCCAGAGTGGCCCTAGAGCTCTGTGACCCCCGCATAGTCACCCTGCTCCAGCAGGATGGAGCCGCTGGCTGAGAGAACTCGCCACACAGGGACATGCCACTGTGGCCAGCTGAGCACAGGACATGCACCATCCCCACTGTCTGTGAGACAGGCACAGTCATCAGCCCGTCTTACAGAGGAAGGTCTGGGGCTGAAAGAAGTCACTCCACCATATGCTGCAGAGCTGGCGCTTGCTCCCCATCTTTTTTCTCTTGTTTTGAGGTAGAGTCTCACTCTGTCACCCAGGCTGGAGTGCAGTGGCACAATCTCAGCTCACTGCAACTTCTGCCTCCTGGGTTCAAGTGATTCTCCTGTCTCAGCTTCCTGAGCAGCTGGGATTACAGGTATCTGCCACCGTGCTGGGATAATTTTTGTATTTTCAGTAGAGATGGGGTTTCACCATTTTGGCCAGGCTGGTCTCGAACTCCTCACCTCAAGCAATCTGCCAGTGTCAGCTTCCCAAAGTGCTGGGATTACAGGAGTGAGCACCTATCCCTGACCCCCTCCCCAGAGTCTCAGTGTGGTCCAGGCTGGAGTGCAGTGGCACAATTACAACTCACTGCAGCCTTGGCCTCCCCAGGCCCACGTGATCTTCCCCTCCTCAGTCCCGCCAGTAGTTGGAACTCCAGACACTCACTACCATGCCCAGCTAAATTTTTTCATATTTTTTATAGAGATGGGGTTTCACCGTATTACCCAGGGTGGTCTCAAACTCCGGGGCTCAAGTGATTCTCCCACTTTGGCTTCCTAAAGTGCTCTGATTACAGGCATTGGCCACTGCGCTCACCCACTGGGGCCACAACCATCCTTTTTTTAAAAAAAGAAAACATTTTTTACTTTGGAATAATTTTAGATTTACAGAACAGTGGCAAAGATAGTAGAGTTTCCATCTACACCTTACCCAGCCTCCCCAGTTGTGAGCATCTCACATTACAGTGGGACATTTGTCACAGCTTGAGAAACCAGCGCCACCCGCACATTGCTGGGAACAATACCACAGCCATTATTTGTATTTCACCAAGCTTTCGGCCTCCCTCTGTCCCAGCATCCAATCCAAGACACGGCATTGCATTGTCATGTTTACCCCTCCTCTCTGGCCCATGACAGCTTCTCCGTCTTTCCTCTATGATCTTAACAGTCTTAAGGAATACTAGCCAGGTGCCCTATACAAGGCCCCCAAATCCATGTACCTCTTTTTTCTCCAATGCTTATACTCTTAATCACCCCCAAGTCCCAAAGCTGAGGTTAGCTGGGCAGATCCTGGGGTTCCTGGGGGATTCACGCATGCAGCCTTGAGAGGCTGCAAAGCCCCTGCCAGAGGCTCAGTGGGATTGGACCGGTAGTGTAGCACTCCAAAGACCTCGATTTCAGTCTCTGGGACTGGCCGGGCACAGTGGCTCACGCCTGTAAACAGCACTTTGGGAGATCAAGGTAGGCAAATCACCTGAGGTCAGGAGTTTGAGGCCTGGCCAACATGGTGAAACCCCATCTCTACTAAAAATACAAAAATTAATCGGGCATGGTGGTATATGCCTGTAATCCCAGCTACTCAGGAAGCGGAGGCAGGAGAATCACTTGAAATCAGGAGGTGGAGGTTGCAGTGAGCCAAGATCACACCATTGCACTCCAGCCTGGGTGACAGAGCAAGACTCCATCAATAAATAATAAATAAATAAACAAACAAACTCTGGGACTGTGGGTCTCTTAATGCTTTGCACCTTAGTTTCCCCATCTGAAAAACAGAGTTAATCAGAAAATCCTACCTCAAAGTTGTAGGATTTGATGATCCATGTGTCTGAAGTCCCTGGCTCAGTACTCACAGGTGGCAAGTGCCCAGGAGTTGGGAGCAATTATAATTGAAGCGGGCTGGACAGCACCCAGCAGATAGGGCAGGGAAGGCCTGGAGACAGGCGGCATCCAACCCCATCTTCCAGACTCCACTGCAGAATAGGTTGGCAGTCTAATTCTGAAGGGGGCAGACAACCAGGAAAACAGGTCAGGCTGGCAGAGGGAGGGAGGAGGACGCCTCTGTGGGGTAGGTTGGCACAGCATGTGGAGGTCGGGGGACCACAGGCTAGGTATCATGGTGGAGTTGGGGTGTCACCCCTGTGGGGTAAAGGGCCGCTGCCCTGGAGACTGTGCCAATGCCATCCTCTCCCCTTTCTCCCCAGATCTACCTGTCCTGGAAGAGCGGGCCAGGGGAGGTGAAGCACTGGAAAGACATGATCGCCCGTCCCCGGCAGCCTGTGGCCCAGTGGCACCAGCTGAAGGCCTGAGTGGGGCCAAGAGAGGCCCAGGGGGCCGAGGGCCTAGGTCCCCATCATGCCCTCACCACTTTATGCACAATGCCCGGCCTGAGCCCCCTGCCATAGGGAGGGGAGGACCCTGAGGGCTCAGCCAGGGAGGGGTCCCAGACTCAACTGGGCTCCGTTTCTAGGAAGTATCAGCCCCATCCCCCACAGTCCAGCTTGGGGGAAGGGACTCTGGGAGGCATTTTCCTGCTTTGCCCCTTTTCTTCCTGACTTGCTGATACTAAAGAAGTTGGGGGAGCTCAAGTGCCAGACGGCCAGACAGGCAGATCCCTCCAGAGGCCAGCCAGGTGGGCATGGTCCCCCGTTTTCTTTAAGGCAGCGCCTGGAGTGGAGAGAGGCTGCCCCCTCTCCAGCCCCCAACATGGACCCGGGGAGGGGAGGCTGAGGCATTTGGCCCTGGTCTGTCCAGGAGAGGCCCATCCCCAGGGCAGCTTCAGGTGCCAGCTGGGCCCTGAGTGCCAAGGATAGTGTAGAGAGCCCGCTCCTGGGTCCTGGAGCCATGGCCCTTTGTACTTGTGTTGTGTCCATTGTGTGTGTGCGTGGGGACAGAGGCCTGACAGTGTGGAAGACTAGGCAGAGAAGGCAGGTTTCATGAAGGCCAGGCAGGGCTGGAGGCGGGGGCAGGAGAGGAAAGGCCTGTAGGGCTGAGTGGGGTGGAGTGGGGCAGAGGTCGGGAACAGAAGAGGGGCTGGAGCTGAGCTGAGAACTGGGCTGCCTCCTGACACCCCCCTCTCCTCCCCTTCTTCCCTCAGTGCCCCCCTCCGCTCAGAATCTCAATAGTTGCCCTTCAGCAATTTCACCCCTTGAACACTGGCTCACACCTTTTAGGCACCTACTGTGTGCATAGCATTCCACTAGGCCTCACCTTCCTTCCTTCTCAAGGGGTCTGGAGCTCCCACTAGCTTTGCCCTAATTCTTTCATCCAAAGACCCCTGCCTGCTTCCCACACCTCACACGGCAGCCACGTCGACCCTGTTCTTCATGCTCTCCAGCTGCCCTGCCTTCTTCATCTCTCCCTGCCTGTGCAGACTTCTGCCCCTCCATCCCCCAGTGCTTGTAGACCTTCCATTCATTCCTTCTCATCGTGCGTGGTCTCTGATCTTCCACCACCTGATCTTCTCCAGGACTCTCTTTTCATCCTTCCCTACTCCCTGATACCCGGGAGAACCTCCTTCTGCCCAACTCACAGTGCAGGGAAAGGAGGCAGGGAAAACACTGGGATTCTGTGAGTTCTGAGATTGCCACACACAAAGAAGCCGTGGTTTCTCTGCCTCAGCCACTGATAAGACTAGAACTGGCTTCCCCTTGGAGACGGCAGATTTCAGGCTGATCCCTGCTTAAGCCCTCTCATCCCCACGCTGGTACTGGTATTGATACAAGACCCAGCTGGTGACAAAGCCTCCCATCCTGGGGGTCCACGAGCCTGGGCTTGACATTCCCAGAATCATCGCCAGGTGGCGCCAGGTCCCCACAGTCTGTGGCTGTGATTTTGGCCCACAGTTCTGCCCTGGATGGGCCTGGGACATCCCAAGAAGAAGAGGACTCTAGATAGGGTCCCCACATCCAGAGTGCAGGGAGACCTTAGGCATTTGGGAACCATTTTCCTTCCATTGGCTTCCCCTTGAGCTGAGCATTCTGCTCGATGCAGTAGATGGGTGGCCTTTTGCCCATACCAAAATTTTCTTAAATTGAATCTCACACCCCCACCCCCATTCCCTCTCCCTGGGATCTGGAGGAGCATCATACATAGTAGGTGAATCGTTTTGTAGAGTGAAGAATGCTAATGTAAAGCAAATAGTCACCCACGTTCCTTGTAAATCCAAATGTTTCTATATTGTAGATTTGCTTAAAATGGAGTCGGCCCCAACTGCGCCATCCTCTTTGGCAGGCTGGGACAGGAGGGCAGAGGCCACGTAGATGTGGGAGAGGGTACGGTGGGAAGTCTGTCTTTCTCCACCTCTCCCTCGGATCCACCTCGGTTTCCTGTCCCCCCACCAGCCACCTGCTCCGAGGAAGACTGCTGAGTGAGCAAGCCCCCACCTCCCAGGCCCCTTCGCCAGCCAGGGAGCCCCCCCCGCATCCAACCACCTTGCATCAAGTGGGCAGGGCAATGGCTGCCCCTTTTCCCGAGCCCCGCTCACAGAACTCTTAGCCAATCCAATGCAGAGAGCATCTCCTGGCGAGGGTCTCTTCCCAACCAGACCCCACCCAGGCACATTGGTAACCAGGCTTGGGCTTCCCCAGCCCCCCTTGTGCAGGTGGAGCTCTGGGATGCTGTGCTGGTGGGTGGCAAGTGGAGGGTCGAGGGCCGGGTAGGCTAGCACGGGAGGCAAGTGTGGTATGGGATGGGGCAGAGGTGGTCTAGGGAGATAGGAAAGCAGGGAATGGGGGAACTTGAGGGTGGGAGGAGGGCACTGGAGCCCTGCCACTATCCCAGGACTTTGGGCAAGAGACCTGTACTCCCTGGGCCTCAGTTTCCCCATCTGTAAAATGATGGTAATAATACTTCACCTACCTCATAGGGGAGGTTGTGAGGCCACCATCACCTGACATGGGGGTCAAGGCAGGAGGACTCCGAAGGTGCTACCCCGGAGCAGAGTTATTACTGAATCCTGACAGCAAGGCCTGCCTGCCCCACCCCCACAGAGCCTCCAGAGCTAGCTGAGGCCAACCCAGGCCCCGTCTCTTCACTGTGTCGCAGGCCCCTTCGTGGGCCTCATCCGCCATCTCCGTGGGCGCCCTAGACTTAGTCCTTACCTTGTTCTGGTTTCCTTTCTTGTGACCATCTCCCCACGTAACTGCTGTACAAATCCCACCTGCCCGGGACCCCCACACCTGCCCTCCGGCACCAGATGCCAGGGAAGGGACAGAGGAAAACAGCCACCAACAAGCCAAGGGGGCTCCCCCGAGTGCCCTGGGGGTGGGGATCCGTGGCGATGTTTGTATCGTGTTTGAGTCCTTGAGTGCAAGTGTTTTATAAAAAATAAAACAAAAACCCACCATCACCAAAAAATTTTTTTGCAGCCAAGAGAAATGAAGAAAAACTGAAGAAAAAAAAAAAAACAGGAAAAACAGAACCATACAAAATGTTTCCACCACACATGCCCTCTAAGCCAGCAAGATTTCCTCTTTGCAAAATCCTATTTTTGTGGGAATGGGCCCCGCTTTTTGTGGCGAGGCCTGTTCTGATTAATAAAGGATCATGGAAAAGTAGGGCCTTTGTTGTTTCCTCCGTGGGCCCCAGCCCTCCGTCACCTCCCTGGGGGCAGAGGCAGCGGGGTGAAGGGGATGGGGGCCCCGGGGCTGAGCCTCCCCTCAGCATGTCACCTTTGGGATTTGACTTCACTGGTGACCAGGCCCATTCTGAGTGTCCAGCCCATCCTCAGATCTCTATCATCCCACCGGCTGCCCAGAAAGCAGAGAGGCAGGTTACCTTTCCCAGATCAGGCCTGACACAAAGCTTTGTGGGAGTGGAGTCTCCTCTAGACCTTGGGGGTGCCCTCCAGGGTCATCCAGCCTGGCATCCCCTCCCTCAGTCCCTGGGGGACCCTCACCACCCTCCAAGGCAGCTCAGACAAACCAAAGGGGGACGATGCTCCAGCCTTCTGGCCACCACCCACGGGGCCCCTGTAGTTTCAGGCCAGCGCCTCCTCCCTGGTCCCCAAGGTGGGGAAAGGAAAGACGAGGCGCTCTGTGTTTGTTGGCTGGACCTGTGGCTTCTCTCAGCCCTCTTCTAGTTTCGTTCTTTAAGATTAGAAATGTCTCTGACTCAGTGGAACAGGTTCCAGCCTGGGATGTGGGAAGCTGAGTTCTAATCCCTCCCTTCTTCAGCCTCTGTGGCTCTGGGCATGCCATTTCCTTCCTCCCACCTGCTTCCTCTGGCCACAACAAAGCAATAACCATCCCCATCCCCTGTCCTTTCTTCCCCACCCAGCCCAGGGGAAACTGAGGCCCGGCAGCTCTCAGGGTACCTCAGAAGGAAGGTGCTACATCTGTTTCAGACACAGGCACAAAAGGAAGGAGCCCATCCCTGCAGTCATGTGTCCATCTTCTGGCCCTTGCTCCCACCTGGAGTGAAGTGGGGGCCCCTGTTCCCAGTACCTGGGGCCAGCAGCTGCCTCCCAGAATTGCACTAAGTATCCGCCCCCGCCCCGCAAAGCTGTCTGTCCCTGCTTCTCACAACCTGGTTTAGATGTCCCTTCTGATCCCTGTTCTAGAGATCGGAGGAAGCCCTGGGGTCAGGTAAGTAGCCTCAGGGGCGCCCTTGATCAGAGCTTTCTCTGTGAAAGCAGCCCCAGAAGGCCAAGCCTGAAGTCAGAGACAGCTCAGGCCTGGCACAGGTGGCAGTGCCTTGCCACCGGCTCGGGACCTTCCCTGGACATTTTGCCTTCCTCTGTTTTTTCTCTGGGTCTGTCTTCATCCATGTCTGCTCTGAGATGCTCCCCCAGCCCTCCCTGTACCCCCTGGTGTGGTCTTTCTCCTGCAAGTGTGCCCTGGATCCTGCTGCTTTCTGGAAGGCCGTCCTGGGCCACATTTTGTGCTCCTCTCCCTCCCCCGCAAAAGACAACCAGAAGGACAAGGCTTGAACACGCCGATGCCCCTGCGCGTGGCTCCCCTAACCATCTGTTTTCCGTGAAGATGCCCCGCTCCCCATATCTGTGTCCTGTGTTTATATGTCGTGTGTCGTTTAGATTGTGAGCCCCATGGGCAGGAATCCCTGTCTGCATACGTGTTCTGTGTGGCACGCCCAGGTGTGCTAATAAACATTCATCTTCAGAACAAGAGCACCAGGTGTCTTGAGGAAGCTTTGGGATGGATGGCTGAGTAAGCCCAGGTGGTGGCACTGGAGGCACGGAGGGACTTCTGGGCAGGGCCCCCAGCTCAAAGAACCTGCTTTCCCTTTTCTTTTCCTGTGTCCCTGAGGGCGGGTGGGAAGGGGGCGGGTGATGTCATTAACAAGGGTATAGGCTCCAGCCCTGCGTCTCCGCTGCCATGCTGGCCATCAGGGCTGCTTGTCTGGAAGCAAGTGGGGGCGGGGCCTCAAGAACAGGCCGTAGTTCTCAGCCATTCTGCTCGCAGACCTGTCTGCCAGCTAGGGACGAGCGGCTCTTCTATGACTCAGTGAGCACTGGGTTGGGAGTCCTCACACCGGTGGATGAGTCACTCGCCCTCCCTGCCGCCTCCTCTGCCTTTCCCTCCGCTTGGTTCCCACAGTAGGAAGGAAGCTTCCTGCTCTGACCACCAGCTCCCTTGGCCTCTGCCCCTGAATCCCTGGTACAAACATGACTCTTCCGGAATTTCCCTGCCCTATTCCCCCATGGCCTGCCCACCCCTGACTGCCCCAGGGAACCACATAGGCGGCCCATCCATCCCATCCCATTGTTACAAGCGTCCCTTCTAGTCTCCCCCGCACCCTGCTCCCCAGAGGCCAAATGGGAATCACAGGAAGTTGTGGGTGGGGTAATGCCAGGACTCCTAATACAGTGCTCTCTTCGACATCAAGGGTAGCCATGACACCCAGCTGTCCTTGGCAGTAGCTCCCTCCCTACTCACATGGAGACAGAGACCCTCAATTGGGCTCTATAGCATCAGCACCCAATTTAACCAAACTTGAACTTTTCAGAAGGGACTGACTTCTGAGGGAGAGCACGTGAGTACCAGAGCCAGAGACAGAGTCCATCCCCATTCCCGGGGGAAGCTCTGGCTCGGCTGGCACAGTCATGGCTGCGGGAGCCATGTTTGACAAAGCAGAAAGGTAGGACCCTGAGTGCCTCAGGGCAGCCCGGGGGACTCATTGCCAAGCCTTTGCTCCCACCTAGTGCTCTCAGGTGAGAGCAGCAGGGGAGGAGGTACAGGGAAACAGACCAGACAGAGGGAGGAGACCTGAGCTCACTAATGCCAGCAGTTACTGCAGGTGACCATGGCTGCATCTGCATCCTGCTTCTCCTTTGTCTAAGGTTTGCATGAAAAGGGCAGGGCATGGTGGCTCACAACTGTAATCTCAGCTAATCTCAGCACTCTGGGAGCCAAGGCGGGTGGATCACAAGGTCAGGAGTTCGAGACCAACCTGGCCAAGACGGTAAAACCCCATCTCTATGAAAAAGTACAAAAATTAGCTGGGTGCAGTGGCAGGCGCCTGTAATCCCAGCTACTTGAGAGGCTGAGGCAGGAGAATTGCTTGAACCAGGTGGTGAAGGTTGTAGTGAGCCAAGATCACACCACAGCACTCCAGCCTGGGCAACAGAACGAGACTCTTGTCTGGAAAAAAAAAAAAAAAAAAGATTTGTATGAAAGAAAGGTAGACAAACACCTTGCATGAGGTATTGAGGTCTAAATAAACCCAATTCCTTGGGCCAGGCATGGTGACTGATGCCTGTAATCCCAGCACTTTAGGAGGCTTAGGCAGGCAGATCACCTGAGGTCAGGAGTTCGAGACCAGCCTAGCCAACATGGTGAAATCCCATCTCTACTAAAAATACAAAAATTAACCAGATGTGGCGGTGCGCGCCTATAATCCCAGCTACTCAGGAGGCTAAGGAAGGAGAATCACTTGAACCCGGGAGGCAAAGGTTGCAGTGAGCCAAGATCAAGCCACTGCACTCCAGCCTAGGCGATAGAGCGAGACTCTTGTCTCAGAAAAAAATGAAATATAAATAAATGAATAAACACAACTACTTGTGTATAGATGAAGAAGCTAAGGCCCAGGAGGGTCATGACTTGCTCAAGATCACTTGGTCAATAGCAGAACTAGGCCTGGAAGACCTGCCTTCTGATTCTAGGTCTAGGGGTATTTTCCCTATGCCGTGATACAAGTGGCAGTTCAAGAAGACAGTCCCCAGTCAGCTGCAGCTCCCACCTGAGTGATCATCTCTCAAATGACTTTCTCCAACTTTCCAGACCCCTGAAGGGCTCCCAACAGGGGGAACTATGGGAGAGACAAGGTCATCAGCAGCCAGGCCCCAGACCCTCTTCCTCCTTGGGAAGGAGGCAGCCACCGATCTTTCCCACCCACCACCTCCTTCTGTCCATTCAAGGCCTTCGCTCTAATTTGCAAGCTGACTGCCCGGATCCATGCCCAGCCTCCTCCTTAGCCAGGGCCTAGCCCCGTGTGCCAGCAGAACTGCTGGGCAGGGCCTGACCTTTTGGCCTGGTATGACATCAGCCTCTGTTGCCATGGTGACAGAGGGCTGACGGGATCTTCTCAGGGGAGATGGGCCTCCGTGCTTGATGTTTTACAATTTTCTTCCTTTCTTTAAATCGTTATTTATTATTTTCCTGAACAACAAGGGGGGAAAGAAATGCCAAAACCGAGCAAAGAGACTAAAAAGGAGAGAGAAAGAAAAATGGAGTGAGAGAGATGGAGGGAGAGGAGGGGCAGTGCCAGTGAAAGAGGAGGGAAAGTTCAGCCCAGCTTGAGGGTGATTCAAAAACATACAGAATCTTCTGCAAAACCAAGCTGTGAGATTCCGCAAGATAGAAGAGCAGCCCCGAGATAGAGCAAGCCCGAGGGACAAAAGCCACCGCTGACGACAGCACTTGTTCCCAGAAAGACAGCACACAGCAGTTAGCGGGGTTGGTCTGACACAGAGAGGGAGGCACATGGGCGGGGGCAGTGCCAGAGGGAGCCCAGGGTCCCCATAGCAGTGGGTTCCGGTGCTCTCAAGGCTTATAAATAAACAGGCACGTGGGAAACGCACATTCCTTCTCCAAGAAATAGAATTTATCTTTACAGCCAGTTAATTTTTTCTTCTCCCTAAAGAAAACATTACCATGTGGGGCCCCTGCCCCAACAGTGTCCCTGAGTGTCCTTGGCCCTGGCCCCCTCTTCCCGTTATTGCTTGGATGAGGAAGCTCTGGCTCTGGGAATTGCAAAGCGAGGCCCCTCTCCTCACCCCCTTGGGGCTGTCCCTGGTGACGGAGTGGAGGTACAGAGTGCCAGTCCCGTGCCAGCCACCCTGGCCGTGCCCATTTAAGGGAAAGGAGAGTGCAGGCCGTGGGAGAGGTGCTGAGCTGCCTCCCAGAGCAGAGAGCCCCTCTCTGCGGTGCAGGAGGCCCTGGAGGCACGGTGGCTTCTTTTCAAATTTGACAGCTGGAAGGCTCAAGCTATGGGGAGGTGGAGGAGGGCGCTTTTTTTCCCAGCAAGATTCCAGGCACATGCTTAGAGAAGAGAACAGAATATAGGGTGGGGGTGACCCCTTGCCTTCTGTGCCCCA